AGGCATCAACAGATGATCAGGCAGCAGGGAAAAATCCACTGGCAATTCTGCACTAGAGGCAGTCCTCAACTTACAACCCGAATTGGAAACAGACTTTTTGTTGCTAAGGGATGCAGAGGTTCAGTGAATTGTGCCTGATGTTATGACCCTTTTGCCACGGTTATTACAACAAAATCTGGCTCCCCCTATTGACTCTGCTTGTTGGAAGACCTCTGGGAAGACTGCAAATGGTGATTACATGACCTCCAGATGCTGCAGCTGTTGCGGAGACATTCGGATTGCTAAGCGCTCAAATGTTGATCATGTAACCAACTGCAGGGGTGCTGCGAGGGCCATCAATGCAAGGATTGGTTCGGAGTCACTTTTTGTAACGCTTTTGTGATGTTAAATAAATTGTTGTAAATTGAGGACTACGGTACCTATAACTTCAAACTCCATTATGGCTGGGTGGACTGCCTATCAATAGCAATAGCCCTTAGACTGGTATACCACTTCACCGTGGTATATAGCTTTATAGCCCTCTCTAAGAGTCAGCCTCTTGTCCCCCAACAATTTTGGGTCCTCATTTGACCCACCTCGGAAGGATGGAAGGCTGAGTCAACCTTGAGCCTGCTGAGATTTGAACTGCCAAATTGCAGGCAGCCGGCAGTCAGCAGAAGGAGCCTGCAGTTCTGCCTTCTAACCACTGCGCCACTCTTAAAGATACTGTTAAAAATCATCTTCTGTTCTTTATGAAAAAGTATACTGATAAAGATTCTGCTGATGGCTGAACAACTTTTAGTTGGACCCAGAGCACTCCAACAATTACAAAGAAATCCCAACCCTAGCAAGCAATGCCAGGCTTACCACGCCGTTATTTTATTTTGGCACATTAAACAACGGATTTCTGCTTAATTCTAGTTGCATTTACAGGAATACCTGGTATGTAATTGCTTTGTGGTTCAATTCCTGCTGGAAAATTAGTGTTTTCAGGAATGGAATGAGTGTAGTCATCAAGAGGAGGAAGTTCAGTCAGAATCTCAGTGTGTCGTGGTACCAGAACAGGAGGCAGAACTGGGAAGAGGGAAAACATCCCAAAAAAGTTAAGCACAATTTTATCATGCTTAAATACACAACAATACACATACTCCTCTATAAAATATATTGCAGACTCTATAAGTCATATGACAAGGTTTTAATTCAAACCACCAATCATTCAGTTTTATGCCTACTCAGGATTAAACTCAAATTTTGGCAATGGGCTTATTTCCATGTAAGCATGGAGAAAATTACACCAATTAGCATAAAATGCTAATATAATAATCAACACTTGGGGAGCGGGAGAGATACTTAATATATGTTACATCCAAATATCCATGGTGAATATGAATATTGCTGTTTGCAGACTTAGCCAGACTCCTAGGCACATTTACTAAAAAGGTTGTCTTCATTTCACACTTCCTTCTTCTGACAAGCAAGAATTTTTCTTATTTTCCCCAGAATCACCCCAGGAGGAAAGGGGTGGAAGTCTAAGGAATGGAAAGCAACGACTGAACCAAGAGAATGAAGTGATCTTTAAAGCTAAGATCCAAATGGGATCTCTCGTGATTCTTGTTTAACCATTGAACAGTAGATGTAAAGGAGGGGGGATCCAAATGCAGAATTCACTAAAGTCATTTTGGAGCATTTCTCAGCTCACATATCTCAATGGTGCTTTTTCAAAAGGTAACTGGACTTTGTTTTTCCTTGAAGATATTTCGCTTCTCCCCCGAGAAGCTTCTTCAGTCCAAGCTTCTTGAATGAGAAGCTACTGTTTCCAGGGAAAACAATCAATCCAAAATAGAGCTGGAAGCTGTTTTCTACTCCAGCCCCCTGCCCAAGCAGGAGATCCTATACCACTTCAGACAGGTGGCTGTCCAATCTCTTCTTAAAAACCTCCAGTGACGAAACTCCTACAACTTCTGAAGGCAATTTCTGTTTCCCCTGGTTAATTGTCCTCACAGTTAGGAAGTTTCTCCTTAGTTTTAGGTTGCTTCTCTCCTTGATTAGTTTCCATCCATTGTTTCTTGTCCTGCCCTCTGGTGCTTTGGAGAATAAGGTGAAATTAAGTTCAAAGTCCAGCTGCCTTTTGAAAAAAAACAAAACACCTTTGAGACAACCATGATCCTGGTTGGCTGAGAATCTCCATAGAATCTCAGCTCATATGATAGATGTGAGAATAAATTAGTGTGACACCAATTCTATCGGTCTCAGTTCCTTGCACCAATGACATGTTAACAATTACGCAATAACCCGCCCTCACAAACACTTTTTTAATGCAGCTGAACAAACTATCTTTCTTTTGAAAATTACAGGAGATTGGGGAAAACAAGCAATTAAGCACTCTTAAGTGGCTGCTCCAGACTGTGATGGAATACTTTTCCTGGAACTACCAAAGAAAGGTGAACAAATGTATCATTCAGATGTCTCTACATTAAAAATTCTTCGACCCACTTGAGTCTCTATAACAAAGCAGAAAAGAAAGATAATTGAGGAGTTCTGTCATTTTAATTGAGGTGAATGCTTGCAACCCCTTTGCAGCTCCAAGTTATACCAGTAAGTGCCAAACACATGCATTCAATACAACCAACAATGCTTTTCAATATTTACGTGCCACCGTGAAAAATTAAAAGCTGGAGTAACTCCCGCTCAAACCCTTGGAATAACGCAGACACTCCTTTTGATTCAACTCTGTACACACTGAGTGTTACGTCGGAGGTTTAGTAAGGGAAGCCTGCATAAGCCAATCCCTTTACGTCAGCCGTGCTTGCCATCTTCGTACCTGGAGTCTCCACTCTCTGGTAATGGTAAGGATTTACACACACTTCATCCTTTTTAAGATTAAAAGCATATTCACAGTTTTCAATGGCCTTAAGTTCATGATGGCTGTGAAGGTCAGGCCAGCGCCACAAGCGACAGTAAATGACATGAGGCAATCCTTTACGATGGGACACTTGGAGGCGGCCATCAAGAGACCTAGAGAGAGAGGGAAAAATATTCCAGAATGTTCTGAGTTGTTGACTTGCAACATATTTAAGATGACCTACTCAGAACTATGGCGCTTAGAGCACCCTTCCGTCCTACCCGAAAAAGAAAAATGAAAAAGAGCTGCCACAGACATTTATATCTTTCAACATTGCAATATTCTTTGCAATAAGAGAGGTAGTTTCATGGTTAGTGCACACACACTGCTATTACTGGCCCTTGAATCAAAGAATCTGTGTGTGTCATAATGACTGAACGATAAATAAGTCTGCTCATCAGCAACACTTAATACTAGGCTAAAACAGACAATTATTGCTGTTAAGAATATAGGTTGTACAAGACTGCACATAAAATTATAGCAGTCAGATACCAAAGGAATTGACATTGCATAAAACAGAGTTTCTCAAGCGGAGCTATTTTTAAGGCCTTTGGACTTCCAGCAGGGCTGGCTGGGGAATTCTGGGAGTTGAAGTCCACAGGTCTTAAAGTGGCTCAGGTTGAGAAACACTGGCATAGAACATGCAGCTTCCATCATCGTGCTGGCCTGCGATTTCTGCATCCCTTGCTGCTACCAGTTGAAAAGTTTTGCTAGTTTTAAGATAAAGACTGCCTAGGCCTACACAAATGCAGATGAATTTATGACTCATGGGATGGGAAAGACAAAAATCTCAGCACACAATGTAAATAGGGTGACATGGGAAGAGGGAAAAAAAAAAAGGAACTGTCAAAAGCCAGACAAGTTGTTTTCTTGTCTCTGAGTGCACATACCTAATTCTTTTTTTTTTAAAAAGCATACATACAAATATATATATATAGTGTGTGCAAGCATTTTTAAAGACACACTTGGTAACCTGGTATGAGGTAAAATGCCCCCTATGTTGTTAAATGAAGAACAGATTATGAAGCCACACGCCCGCCCGTGCCCGCCCCAACTTCCCAAGTCTTCCCACAGCACTAATAACCAAACTTTTGTTGGTTAAAACATCAACTGAGAACACAACATCCATGCTCTGTTGATAGGAAGCACTGCAACTGGTAAAGACCCCTGAAAAGCCGAACCCACCCGCAAGATCTCTATGACGAGACACAGGGCAAAATATTCACCTGGTTTGTTCAGAGAAGCTGTATAGGCCTGTGGTATCCCACTGATCTATCGTATTTGGTGTACTCAGTCCCCAAATTTCAGAGCAAGTGCTGTGTATAAATTGGAAAAACAAAAACAAAAAAAGTTGATGTGAATATGGAAGCATGGTTATTCAAACTACCATGATGTAAAGACATGGGAGAAATGTACAGAAAACTTCCTTCCACATAGAAAATACTGAAAAGTTTGCTTTGTTTTCTTTTTTTTCCTTTCCTTTTTTAAAAGCTAGTATCAAAAAGAATGTATTTTCTATATGAAGGAGGCCGGTAAAATGGAACATGTGATTTTAAGGTAAAATGATGTTTTCAAAACGGTGAGCACGTCGGCTGGATTGATGCAATTTGCATATTTGCAATATACCTTAAAACAGGCAAAACCTCATCAACCTGGCAGTATACAGTCTCTTTGCAAAAAGTAAGAAAAAAATATGTACAAAATAATAATAAAAAAAATATAAAGTCAACTAAAATCATGTCAGTAAAGCATTAAGAGTTCAACAAACCGTTACACCAAAATTTAAAAATCACCAAAATCAATCTGTTAGCTAGCTGGAATGTACAAGTTTTCCATTTACTTTCGTTGAAATGTCCTTTTGAGCCCACCAATCTTCACCCCTTCGTTTTTAATGCCATATGAAAGGATAAACCCAATGCTTGCTATTAACAAGCAAACAGAAGGCAAGCAATTCAAATTATTATTATTTTTTAAAAAAACCTGATATTAAAGGTTTTCCTTTATTTATTTTATAACCCCTTTTATTATTTATATAAATAATTCAAGGTGGTGAACATACCCAACATGCTTCCTCCTCCTATTTTCCCCACAACCACCACCCTTGTGAGGTGGGCTGGGCTGAGTGCGTGTGACTGGCCCAAAGTCACCCAGCTGGCTTTCATGGCTAAAGGAGAGACTTGAACTCAGATTCTCCTGCTTTCTAGCCTGGTGTCTCTTTAACCACTACAACAAACTGCAAAGAACTGTCATTTCACAGGAATCTCAGCAGGCAACATTAACAACCTGAAAAAAGTATCACAATAAACCTTATTTACACTATCGAACATTATTTCATCTGTTTTGTATTTTTTTTCAGAAAGTGGTTCATGGGGTTTCGTTCGCACCAACTAGAAGGAGAAACTCTACCTAAGATCTGACCAATAATCAATTGGGTACAATAAGCAGCCAGAGTTCAATGCATTGTACTAATTTCTCTCTCTCGTGTGTGTGTGTGTGTGTGTGTGTGTGTGTGATATTATCACTCAAAGCTGCCAGTACTTACCAAAAGGCAATCCAATTAAAGTTGAAACTGTATCCACCTTGCAGGCTGGTGATAATATTCTGGACAGTGAAGTATTAGAAGTCAATTCAGGTAGACAGTTTACATGTTTAGTGGGATTAACATGGACCTTGAAAAGAATCACCCAAGCATGTCTGAAAAGGTGCCACTATGTTTTTCTGATTTGTAGCTACCACAACAAGGCCACAGCGGCTTACTTGTTGCTCTCAAGATGCAAAATATATACATTATGTGAACTCTTTGAAACAACACTTCATCATACCCCAAAACTCAGAATGGGGATACCGGATTATATTTAAAAATCATTTGTTATCTAGATGTAAATTCTTTTTTTATTTATTTTCCTAACCATCACCAATTCTGACATGTTAAATAAATGCAGAAGATTCTTGAAGCAAGAAGCTCAGTTAACAAGTGTTCATGTTCACAAATCTTTTATTGCAGAAGCATTGTGGATTTTCCACTGGTAATGATTTTTTGCAAAGGTTTTTCCCCCCCGAGACAAGAACATAGCCATGTATTATGGATCAAGGCTACCATTACGTCTTCTTTTTGCTAGTTGCCCTTTAATATGTTTTGCCGTTATCTTGAAATTCAGGATTAGTGCAGTCATAAGAAAATTAATCTAGGAATCAGTATATACTTCCTCAGATGAATCTCACTCTTTGATTATACATCTGATCAAATGCCAATCGAAAGGCGTATTAAAGTTAAATTATGAACTAAGATCAGGAGATGGGGGAAAAATGTACGCATACAAAAGCAGAATCCAGCAATTATTATACGTAATCATTATGGCTGTATTGGCATAAATCAACAGTAAGGCAACAACAAACTGACCTTCTAAAGAAATTTACAGTTCATGAGATGGAAACAAGAATGTAACCAAACTGTATCTTGGAAGCTGTAAGTGATCATAGCCCCAATTTACTCCCCATTTCATTCAGAAACAATTTGCAAAGGGAATGGCACAGACACTGCCAAAAATTGCTGTCACCCCTGAACTAACTGCTCAAAGCATGAATGTCCTCCCAAAGGTTCAGCATGGCCACTTCACTTTAACATCAAACCTAGCTTTTTCATCACGCCGAATTTTCCAAGATGGTCTTATGAACGGTTTGCACAAACCTATAAATAGACGGCAAAAACAGCTCCTAAAACAAAAGCAATCCATTGTCCTCTCTAGAACACTAAAAATCTCCAGAGACCGTTCTCATCCTGGACATTCATATTTAGAACTGTTACCATCAGGGAGGCGTTATAGGTGTCTTAAAATGAGGACTAATAGATTGAGAAACAGTTTCTTTTCCAAGGCAGTAACTGTCTTGAATCAAACAGCGCATTTGTGATTTAGCCCTATGCCTAGTGGCATTTTTAAACTATTTAACTTACTAAATGTTTTAGATAGGTTTTAGATAGGTTTATTAATGTTCAGATAGGTTTTTTTTAAATATGAGTATAGGTTTTTAATTATTATTATTATTTTAATTATTTTCATTTTTAAATATTCTGTAGTGTGATTGTGATGTGGCATTTGGGGCACTGTGCTGGAGTAGCTTTCAAATTTCATTTTATTTGTGGAATGCAATGACAATAAAGGTATTCTATTCTATTCTATTCTACTTCTGAATTTTATTAATAATCTTCATGACACTACATTTATTGGAATAATATAGCCTGCCCACAAGAAAAAAAAAATACTACTGAAAAACAGTTGCTTCAGTTGCACAAACCTGAAAACAATTTGCTTCTTTGGAAGAAGCTTGCATACTTAAAGGATTGGTTCATCTTTGGCACTAGCTGTGTTCTCCATACTGGAAAAGTTTTGAAAATTAGTACATCTAACATTGACCAACACTTCCTATTAAGCTAATGATTAGTTTACAGCAGGGTTGTCCAACCTTGGCAACTTCAAACTTGCAGACTTCAATTCCCAGAATTCTCCAACCAGCCATAGTGGCTGGGGAATTCTGGGAGTTGAAGTCGATAACTTTAAGTTATCGAAGTTGGACACCCCGGTTTACAGAAATTACATCTACAATCTCCTTGCAACTGTTGAAAGAAAACGTAGCAAAAAATCAATATCAGAAATCACAATGCGTTTTTGCTGTTCTGACATTACTCTACTGAATTTATAACAAAATTTACAAACATTGTAAATAGGCTTCATATTAGTGTCTATTTTCCAACTGTCTCTAATGAAATGTTTGTGAGAATGGTGTTTGATAAAGATTAATGTGATGTATTTATTCATGTGTGCAGGCAGATGTGGATAAGACAGATATTGGATTTAATATATCCATTCTTTGTGCATGATATTCTTTTGATTCAAAATTATCTCCATAACTTAAGAGATGAAAAAGAATGACAGCCATGACAAAAGCTGAATTCATCTGTATTATGCATTTTCAGAAAATATTTTTGTTGAAGGGAAAAAAATAAGATATACAGTATAAGCAACACAAGGTTGCTTCTCAGACAGTCAAGTGGAGCTGTCTTTTCAGGATTTAACTCATTTGTTAAGTTCTGCATCATTTTAGTTGTAAAACTTTAAGACTTTACTGATGAAGTCAATACAAACCAGTGGCTTTATAAACTCCTACCAATAAAATAGGCTCCAAGAGATGGTAACAAAAAAAAAACCTGGAGACCCAACTTAAGAAGTATAGAAAAGAGTATTGAATAAAAAGTATTGAATAACCTGGTTTATTAACCTAGGTTTCATGTCCAAAATCTCACAAGAATTGAATGAAAATGTAGCTCTCAACAGAACCAACTTCAGTCTCTGAATGAATATGGTTGTATACCCTTGATGGGGGAAAAATGATTCCCCTTCTGCAAAACAAACAATAAACAATCTCTTCAGAAGTTGAATGAATGAACACAAGAAAATGCTAAGCAAATCTTGAGGGTGCTTGACATTACGAAAATATTTGGAACATGCATAACCTAAAATAAATGAAGCAAACAGAATTGGAGAGGTTTCTTAACTGGTGTTTTCAAATGTCACTGAGAACTCTTAGGAAAACTGCAGTATTACTTGAAGCAACATAAAATGACAAAAAGGACGTCTACTGGACATCATCTTTAGAGTCTATAGTTTAGTCTAATACTTTTAGAAGGATACAAAACTAATTTGCTGATTTGTAACTGTTACATTTCGGTAATATTTGAAATTTAGAATGTTCAATCATTGCCTTTGGGTAGGATCCTTGGTAAAGCCAAATTAAATATTATGGAAAAGGCTAGTCAAAGCAAGACTTGTAGCATTGCGGATGGATAGGTTGTGTGGAGATGTGGAAAGTGGGTTTGTGCATCATGCCACAGACAATCCCAATCACCTGAATGCAGGTGAAGACACACCCCATCCTGTTTCAGTGAAAAATTAATTTACCAGATTCTGTTTTTTACATTTAAACCCTACACTGGTAGAGAACTTACGAAGGATGTACACTGATTTTGTACAGGTCAGGGACTGAGATCCCACTGAACAGCTATTGAAGAAGTCCTCCCAAAACGTCAGAAAAAAGTAGACAGTAAAGATAGTCTTTGACTTACAACTCTGTTTAGTGACCGTTCAAAGTTACAACAGCACTGAAAAAGATGACTTATGACAGTTTTTCACACTTACGACATCCCTTCATGTGATCAAAGTTCAGCCACTTGGCAACAGAACCATATTTATGATGGCTGGGGTCATGTGATTTTGCCTTCTGACAAACAAAGTCAATGAGGAAGCCAGATTCAATTAACAAC